TATATATATATATATATATATATATATATATATATATATATATACTCGATAGTGTTGAAAGATGCAATCGCCATCCCCGAATTGCTCTTCAACAGTAGGAAGCAAGATGGTGTTTAAAACACCGTCAACGTAGGGCCGTGCCGTGATAGTGCCACACAAAACAACCAGGGGTGCAAGTTCCCCCAATGAAAAAAAAAAAAACAAAACAAAACAAAACATAACCACATGTATGTCTCTCTATTGATGTGTCTGTCTCTCTGTCTATGACCCTCTCTGTCTATGTGTCTCTTTGTGTCTCTATCTATGCGTCTCTGTCTAGTGTCTCTATCCACGTGTCTCTATCTATGTTTCTCTGCCTCTGTCTCCCTTTCTGTGTCTGTCGCTCTCTCTTTGTCTTTCTCTTTCCCTCTCTCTCTCTCTCCCTCTCACACACCGACTGTCCTGTCCTCAGCCTCGCCTTTCGACACACGGCAGCACCCAGCAACAATGAAGCCCAGGTGAAGCTCAGTTTGAATGGAAATTGAATTAAAATTAAGCGCAATCTTTGCTGTTGCACTATTTAGTAGAGTTCCTATAAAATTAACAATACAAAAACTTTCTGTTTGAAAAAAACCGTAGATGTGCCATCTTTAATGGAAATTGGTCACTTTTTATTTTTGCAAAATAACTTTTTAATAATTTATGTTAGTGCAAAAATAATAAAGTATAATTTTAAAGGTCATACACATCTACAAATTTGCTTTATAAATTAGTTTTCTCAAGCAAATAGTAACAAAGCTATGAGATTTAAAAATTTCACCAAATTTTCCTTTTAATTCTAAACGGTTACACTGCACCGCTGCTGGTCTCTGGCGGAATATATTAGGAACTCGTCTCTTAGAGACAGGCGAAAAATAATGATCGTGGTGCATGTAGCAATGCATTATTTGAGTTATTTATTTTCCGCAAATGTGTTATATTAATCTTAACCAATTTTTTGCAAGGGCATTGCGTTAAATCCTGAAGAAGACCCTGTAAATATTTAATATCTACTCATACACTCCTTTTTGTGGAATCTATGACGATTACATGTCGTTGAATTCACTTTTACTAGTTCAGATTTGAATTTGATGTCGATAAATTCATAAATTTAATAATGTCGGTCCATATAAACGCAAAGAAACATAGCGGGTGATTTGAATTAACATTCGTTTTAGAAATCAAATACAAGATATGATAAAGTGTCATAAGATGAAAATTCGAAAATCACATAAAGACATTACAGGTTTATTTATATGTATTGATTGTATCTGTGAGTAGAAGTTCTGCAAATGATTTTCAATAAAGTTACTCGCTTTCTCAATAGATTTCTGCGACAACACGTAGAGGCCCTTTTCACGTCGCTACTGCTGAGCGCTTGCGAATGCCGTGGCTGGTAGCAAAGCATTGGTTTAAATGGAGGTCTTCTCATTTCCTGCTTGTTCGCGCTGCTGCGGCGTTCGGCGGCGGACTCCCACCACCGAAATCGCAATGCATCGCGAAAGGGCGTATGCGCCACCGCTAGCAAAGCATTGGTTTAAATAGAGGTCTTCCCAATGGGACACTCGGTCGCGGCGGTTTACCTCCTGCGCCCCTTTGTTCGTCATCGCCGACGTGTCGACGATCCATATCCCCGCCGAGCCCTCCCCCTTTCAGGGCATGCGGCGCAGTAGCGCTGGCGTGGGAAGTGCCCTGCAGTTCACCGGACACATGTTTTGGGGTCCCCTTATACCGAAAACGTGTTTTTTTCAAAATGTCCGTCTGGTGTCTGTGAATACTAAACTATGCGTAGGATTGTTTCCAAATTGAAGAAATGCCTGTCCATCTGGATCGATTCGAAACTTTGAGATTTTGAAAACCTTTCTTCAAAATTGGGAGGTACTTTATGTGAAACCGCCAAGATACTTTCAAAATTTTCTCAAAAACAGCAAAACATTTTTTCCTTCAATTCAATAACGTGGATACATTTTTTGAGAAAATTTTGTTGGCATTTCGTGGAAAGTCTCGACACAACTCGTGAGGGAGCCAAGGCCTACCAACGGCGTCTCGGCTTTACAGCCATAGCTTAAGGGGCACGTGTCAACCTGAGAAGAGAACTTTCTCATCGTCACACAACTATAAGCACAGGAGCATTGTAAGGAAAGCGTTCACTATAACCTGCTCCGACCGGGAATCGTATCCGAGATCCCGTCATGGAAAGTGAGCACGCTGACCAGTGAACTAGCCGTAGAGTTCATGTAAAGTACACCCCAAAAATCTGTGGGCTGTTTCAAATTTGAGGGGCGGAGAAATCGTCCAGATCGATCCAGTAATATCAATATTGGTGAAAATCCTAACAGTGGTTTAGGCGCCAAGGAACTGTTCACAGACCAAAACAGTTTCTGTGTCATTACACGTCAAATGTCACAAATGTAAGGGACATTTTACCTTGTATTCCAGATTTTTTTTCCTATGAAGTGTGTAAGCGAAGATATGAAATACACGTTTTTAATTTTTCTCAAATGGTCACATCGCTGAAGTTAATCGTTTGCAACTGTGTTCGTATTGTAACTATGACAAATATTAATATTTTGTGATATTAAAGAAGAAAAAATGATCTTTTATTTGAAATCTGTATTAAATTCATTAAATATTTTAAAATTCATTTTTTGATTTATTTTATTTTTTAAATTTCTTACGTAAACCGACAATTTATAAATTCGAAAAAAGTACCATTGCATTCTCTAAAGTGTTTTAAACAAGTCTCGAAAGTTTAAAATAGGGACTCTGAAAGGAATTTGTTGCATTAAATGCAAGTGTCTACTTGCTGTTTTGCTGCAGCGCCTGCTAGTGTCACCTCCAAAAGCACGTTCCAATCAGCAGTAGACGATTACCATCGTTATACTTACAAAGAGCAATGAGTAGAAATATCCCTTCACATCATAATCTGGCGGATATATTCTTATGACCTTTATTGCCGATTAAATTAAAATTAAAAGTATCAAACAGATTCAATCAGATGATTGAATGTCAAACGAATGGAATATTTGTTAGAATACCTGTACATTATACAGTTAATTAAATTCATATGTATTTTACTATTTTTACAGAAAATATCGTTTATTGACTATTTCATAAATAAATGAAACTATGTATTTTTTGTTTTTGTTTTCTAGAGGTATTTATTTTCTTATCACCGTTGTAACAGTCCTCTTTCT